TGCAGAGGCTTGGTCTTATAAAAGGAAGCAGTTTTTTGTCCCTGTACCCTTATAGAACTATGACCTGTGGGGAAATGCCTGTCTGATCCTGCAGGCAGCCTGATACAGTGAAAAGAAGCAGCAAACTTTAAACCTGTAAGTTAATGGTACTGACAAGAGCTGTTAATGACTTCACTGTCACCCATTACAGCACTAATACAACTAATCTGAAATTTCATACCATGCTTTCTCCCTCATACCGTGCCCAAAAACATCAGCTCTTCATATGCAACCATGAAAATATTCTGCAACTTCAACCGTGAATAGAAATACACTAAATGAAGTTCTGATGTCTGTGGAAAGTGATTATAAACTCAAGTCAGAATAAAAAATTATCTAAGAACCCAAAAGAGCAGATTGTGCAAATGCATCCACACTGTTATTAATGTTTTCTTTTTGAATAGAATTGTTATTCTGTGGGTCCAATTGTATTATAAGATAACATTTGACATCAGACATGGCTTCATGGTTTGCCCCTTCAATTAATAGAGATGGCTCTGTGACAGTGATATTATTAATTTAAAATTTAGATGTCTGAACATATGTATATATGAAATATTCATATAATCTCTTATCTACCCTTCTGAAATTGAAAAGCATTGCTTCAGAGAGCACAGACTTGTGATTTTCTTTCCAAAGCTGTCTTTCCAATTTCTTTCTCATGTGGATGCATTTCCTTCTTTCATTCTCTCCTATAGTCCTATAGTCTGTGTCAAGTCACATTGCAGGACGCCACATCATCTCATCTCACTTAATCATATGCTTCAAAAAAGCATATAACAGTCACAGACAGCAGATATTCTAAAAGGCCTCAAAAATACAACAACCAAAAAAGGGTTGAAATTTGATAAGCAAAAGTGTGGGCTGAGTATCAGGAAATATTTTTGATAGTATGGAACTGGGAATATAAAGTGTTAGGCACTTAGCAGACAAATCCCTGCTCACTTTAAATTAGAGTAGATAAAGTAAAGAATTATTATTAATATGCTAACACTCAGTAAATCTCTCTCTTGCCACAAAACATCTCTCTGTGATAAAAAAACTCTCTTTGAAATGCTGGAATCCCTCTGCTGCCAGGATTTGGCAAGGAAGAGATGGAAGATCAGCATAGCACCTTGTTGTAGGAGAGAATAATATTTTCATTATTCTGTTAATCTGAATTACCCCTGAAGTGCAGAAAATCTCTGCAGGACAGGTGGAAAAGAATGCAAATCCAAAAAAAATTTTTGATTTCCATATTTCATTTCTGTTTTCATTTCTCTAAATTGTGTAGCTTGCTTGTTGTATTGCTTCCTCCTGTAATACTGTAATGCTGGAAGCTTCCCTTAAGATACTACTGGGCTGAATTATCATTTGGTAAAAAATGGAACAATGCAATAAATGCTAGTGTTTTATTTATGTTAGTCAATTATCTGGCCACTGTATTTAGTAGTTGTCAATGCCACAAACTGTGAGTGTAAGGAAATAAGAAGAGAAATTTACTATTGCTTTTATACTTCATTTTATAGCCAAACATCTGTGTGGTGTATTTATGTATATACCTTTGGTGTGTATAGCAATGTGCACTTTGTGTTTATATATGACTGTACTATGTGCATATTACATTTTTGCTTCCATTTCTTTTCTGGGAGCATGAAAATCTTTTACTGAAACTAACATCGCAGATCTTTCCATCCCACTGAGTTTTCAATAGTCTCCTTTAAAACTGCTACTGGTCCATTGTCTAAATTCCAGTTGAGAAAGCATGAAAATTTCCAAAAGAGGGTCACTTATTTCTCCATGCAGATAGTTAATAAAAGCAACTTTTCAGAGAGTTAGACATTTTTCAAATCAAATCTGCTACAGATGGTGGTCTAATCTTACTCTTGATTACTTCACTGTAAATACAGTGACATTTCATTGAAGTAAAGGCATTTTAAGTGAACTACTTCTATGAGGAAAAAAAAACAACTGTGTAAATAGAGCCATTATGAGGCTGATGAACTCCTTTACATCCTACTCACACTATAAAATAAGATTGAAGTGGGACGTAAGCCTTGCACTGTGCATGATGAACTTCTCTTACATGATGAATGCTAAGTAGGTGCATCCCCTCAGGATCCGTACTGCCCTGCTAATAGAGCCCATGAGTAAGAGCTAAGATTACAAACAGGAGTTATGATTAATATAAACAATTCCTTTCCCCTTTTGTTTGCCCTTTCTAATGTTTGTAAATAGTTACTTTGTTATGCTTCCACTTGTATTTCATTATATGAATAGTTCTTTCTCTCCATCCCCCAAAATCAAGGAGACATTTCTCTTCTAACTCCTGCACTAAAATGAAATGCTGAAAAAAACCCCGTTATAAATTATGCCTCTGGCTGTATGGCTTTGCAGAAAAGAGTCTGGGGATACTGGATGGATCACAAGTTGAACATGGACCAGCAATGTGTCCTTGACACCAAGAAAGCCAGTCCTGGGCTCCATTAGTCAGACTGCTGACAGCAGATCAAGAGAAGTGATCCTTCTCTGCTCAGCTCTAGTGAGCCACCACCCGGAGTCCTGCACCCAGATCTGGGCTTCCAAGTTAAGAGAGACATGTAGCTGCCACACAGAGTCCAACAAAAGGCTCCTAAGACAATTTAGGGAGTGGAGTTTCTTTCGTATGAGGTGAGGCAGGAAGACCTGGGACTGTCCAACATGTGCAGAAGTGTGAAGGGAGTGTTTAAAGAAGGCAGATATGGACAGGCTCTTTCAGTGTCCAGTGACAGGAAAAAAAGCAATCAGCACAAACTAAAGCACAGCATGTTCCATCTAATCATCAGGAAACATATTTTACTGGGAGGGTGATAAAGCGCAGGAGCAGGTTGCCTAGAGATATTGTAAAATCTAGATTTGCTGCATTTTCAGTCATTCTGAGGCTCTAAGTCCAAAGCAGTTTCTTACTTTGAAGTTCTTCATGGGTTTGCCTGTTTGTGTCTTGTGTATTTGCTCAGTCTGTAAGTTCTTACTCCTGTCTCCTTCTCCTCTGAAGAACATAAATCTTTCATTTGCTCTGTCTTTACTCTCTGCTATGACTTGATTCTTGTCAAAATCATTTTCTCTCTCTTTCAGGCAACCCCCCTAGATTCTTTTGCTGGTTTTGCCTTCAGCAAATAATTCTGGAATGTTGTTGTGGGAATTTCAAATGAAATGGTGGTGTGTAAGTGAAGACATTTGTTGACACAGAGTCCTCCCCCTGGATCATTTGAATGTTACTTTTCAACCTCATAGTGAAAAATATTCAGTCTTAGGCACTGGTACACTACAAACTTGAAGAAAATTAAATTAGTTCTCCAGTTTACATTAATGGATTAGGGATAAATCTATAAATCTTTTTTACCTATGCCACCATCTAAGCAGATGATTAAAGAAGATCCAAGAATGGATCCTTGACCTGGCTTGGTATGCCAAAAAAATGAAAATGCAGAGGAGATTGACAACGAGGACATCATGGATACAATTGCTTAAGAACTGAAGAGTAGTTCAGTAGTGTGGGATCTGATCAGTTTGAAGAGAGGACTGAAAGGGGGTGCATATTATTTTTTATATTTATCATCAGCTTAAAAAACTCAGTAATACACATGGTACATTCCCACGTGAATAGGATCACAGATCCCAAGTGAGCTATGGACAAGCATCAAGTTGCTATGACAAAAAACACACATCACAGCTCTGTGTGATCACAGTGCAACCCAACAGCACAGTCAGTTTTACAACAAATGACAGGGTAATGTTACAGCATGGCCATCCAGATCCACTAAAGGACTTGAGCACCTAAATGCCTGAGCCTGTGACCCACAGTTGCTCCAGCTAATCTATTTCAGTTTCAGAGAGGATGTAGTTTAAGAATTTCTTGACTGAGTTATTTTAGACCCTACGATACTGCTGTTATGCTTACCCATCAGATCACACATACATGACTTAGAGTTTATCTCATCTAGCTTTGCTCTGGCTGGGGACCTATCTGACAGGTACTCACTCAAAGCAGGTATTGGAAAAAAATGATAGGATACAAACCAGCAGTCATGAAGCAGCATTTGGCAGGTGGCAAAGCCTACCTTTAGGGCCATCAGGGATTCAGAAGTTCTGGATCATCTTCATTTTTAGACATTTTATATTTGTAAATGCCTAGCTGTAATTAAAAAAATGCTATAGCAATATGGCCCAGGATTTGCAACTCCTCTGCCCTTGGAGTTTCACCAAATTGAAGTCACAGGTTCATTCCTTACTGTATTTAAGAAGGGCTTACAACCCAGGAACAGCTAGATGCCGGATTCTTCTGACAAGGTGCTGAACAAGCAAAGGAGAACTGTGTCTAAGGAGAAAGTGGCAGACGCTGATATATTTTCCTTAATTCAGGCGTTTCTTGCGAATACTTAATTTGAGGTTTGGATAGCAAAGTTCTCATAAAATTGATCTTATGCAGTCCAGACTCGTCTTTTGGATCATTTTATGGTTTGTTAGATTGAAAATTCTGATTAAAAACTGCTTAGCGTTGTAAAATGCCAATACAAAGATCCATTTTTTGAAAACTCTCCTCTAAGGGTAGTGCTTGACAGCTGGAGAAACAAAAAAGGAGTGCACTTTCTATCTACATATAATGGGTTTCCTAAAAAAACATTTACGTCAGAAGGATCAGAGTGTCCTGATTGAGTCAAAGAGCTCAATTGTGAAAGGCTTACTGTGATCTGTGGGTGAATAAGCAATGAACAGTCAGTGTGAGAGGCTGGTTTCCTGTCCATGGAGAGTATTAGTGAGACTGGTTCTGTCCTTCATATGCTCTTCTTAGAAAGGAGGGCAGAAAATGTGATGAAGAAGAGAACCACGACAAAGATGGGAGGACCAAACAAGATATGTGACAGGGAGACACGTAAATATTTCATTTTTTTAGAATATAAAGAAGCAAGTATGTGACCCAATGATTGTGGAAAATGCAGAAGTATCAGATTACAAAGAGCTCTTTATCCAAAATGGGTAGTATACAAAAAGTGCCAGGCAAACTGCAATTAAAAATTATCACAGCCATGGGAAAAAACAGTCCAAGGTGATTTGTAGATTCATTATTCTTGAATTAACCACGATTAGATACCTTTCTAGCAAAAATTCTTCAGTCAAATATAAGTTAAATTCAACAGTGGGTCAAGAGGTGAAGTGTACTGTCCTGGAGGGTAAAGATCAATGTTCCCTCTTCTACCTTAATATTAGAGACAGTAAGGCACGTTTTAATTACTCTTTTCTAGCAGAGCAACATGAATAGATCTATTTTTAAATAGCTTATTTCAGAGAGTGCCTTGTCATTCATATCTGTCCAACTAGCTGACTTCTCAAAAAAATCTGATTTTCTTATTTTTAATTGCCTGTTCACTTTGCAGAATTAGTATGGTTCAAAGAGGGCAAGAGTCTGATCTCAGCAACAGAATTGTTTATAAATGATCAATCTGTTCCAGCCGTCCAAATGCATAGGCAGTAGTAGATTTGCTAAAAGTGTCCAAAATTCGATGAGAGTTGCAAAGATATAACTCAAATTCCAGTTGTAGCCAGCAGCCTGTGCAGTTTCTTGTGTCACTGTAAACTGGAAAAAATCCAACCTTACTTAGCATGGCCTGAATTTAAGGAATTAGTTTTCAGAAGCAAACAGCTTTATCACTGTCAGCTAAGCACACTTGGTTTTGTATGAGACACATAAATAACAGGCCAAACTATTAACTATTTAGGGCATAGATTTCAATCCATTGCACTCACACCAGTGACTTGCTCTTGCAGCACTTGAGTGAAAGACCATGTTACTCTGTTCGAGGAACAGAGGTCATGGAAAAAAACAGAAGGAAACCTCAGTATATTTTCATGAATCTGCATGTTTCAACTGAGAATATTTCAGGAAGAAAGTTTTCTCATCACCCAGGAAAGGGAAATGAAATAGCTAAGCTCCAAGGCTTTTTGAGGGCAGTTCTGTACTTGAGCACACCAGGACGCTTCAGTTCTGTATTTCAGCACACCAGGGGGAGCGATTCCTCTTTGAACAGGTTCCAGTTACATCTCTGCAAGGTCTAGAAGGCACAGTGGCTTTTCATTAGCTCAGCGCAGCCCTTTCAGCAACACTGAAGTGGAACAGCTTTACACAAAGGCCACATGACCTTGAATGATGACCTTGAATGCCACAACAAAATGTAAATTCTGAGAGGTGCCATTTTTTCCATACAGATTTGAAGAGCGAAAGATTAGACTAGCTTTTAGGTAGGGCAATGTGGTTTGCTCTTCCATGCTGTCTTTTAATGATATCCAAAGATTTGAATTTGTGTGTGATCTGCAATCCTCCAGATGCCTGGTACTCGTGATCTGCTGCTAACACTCAACACATGTGATCAGCTGATTGCATTGCCCCCCTAGCATCACCTGGTTTCAGGAAGAGAATTTATCACTTTTGTTCTGAACCCAAATCTACTGCCTAGCTGCATCTCTAGGTGTAGAAGACATGAACTCCATGTAGAAGTCATGAATTCTTCATTAAGAAGAACTGTGTAGCCAGCTGGTCAGAAAATGTGCCCAAAGCAGGATGGATTCAAGCTGGTTACCTTCACTTGGAATAGCCCTCAGGTAGACTTGCTGGCTGCAATCGGGACCAAGGAATATTCAGTGGTAGGGACACCTTGTTTGTTTAGTAAAGCCAAGTTCCTTGGTGGTGTTCACCATTTCCCACCACACCCACAGGTTTTCATTCAGCCTCATAACATATGAATTGTCTGGGACTAGCTACAGCAGCTTCTTTCTTTCTAGATAGCCCTAGGTGCTGAATATATTTGTGCCAAACAGACTCAATCAGCATTTCTCTCCACTGAGTAGCTTGTGCTCACTCAATTAGCCCTAACACTGTGTTGTTGAAGCATGCACTAAGATTACACCCTTCAATTTTAAACAAACAAACTAACAAACAAGAAACCCGCACACGCATTGAAGCTACTTGTGTGCAAAGCACAGAAATCACTGTGTAAGTCATACTGTCATTGAGCCTTTCCTTCAAATAATTTCAGGCATGGAAGAAAAAGTCTTAGCTTACGTGCTTGTCTTTGAACACTCTGGTGAGCAGGGCCTGCTTCTGGCAGAAACATGCCATGGCTTAGTGAGGCAGGAGTGCACAGGCATGTAACTCCCGCCTGAGAATTTCACTTGGCTGCCAAAGCAGCATAGGTGGGAACTTGCTTGCCCGACGTGCTCTCTGGCAGCACAGAATATTAACTGACATCCTGGTGCAGATCCAATTATCTGTCTGGGAGGCTGTCCAGCAACAGACACCAAAAAGACAGGTTCAAGGAACCTCATCAGGAATAATTACAAAACAGCTTGCCTTAAGGTGAAGTTTCTTCCTGTTTCCAGACAGTGAAAAGTTGGTGTTCAAGCACAAAAGACATTAATCTCTGAAATATATTCTTTCTAGCTATAGGCATGACTCTTCCGAGCTTGCATACCAATGCCTAATACCCTTAAGAAGGTCTGTCCACTGATCCCTGTGCATTTAGTTTATTCATTACTCTTGTGCACTGCCTGTTACAGGAATCACATAGAGTAAAGGTGGGCAATAACTTGTTAGTCTCCCATTGCTTCTCTGGCAGAGAACACAGCTCTGTAAGACTTTTTTGGCATTGTTTCTCACTCTTCTGGTGAAGGGCAGGCATCAGGTGCCTAGGTGAGCCCACTCCTTTCTCTCCTCATTCTCATGCCTACCTGTTGAGGGTGCTCATATATTGCAGAACATCCCAGATAACTGCAGAAACAGAATGTACAATTTCTGGTTTCAGATGATTGAGAAAAGTAAAATCAGGGTATTCCTAATGCTTTTGCCATGACTTCCTGTCCTCCATGCTTGCAGAGCTAAGGAGTGACATGATGGCAAATAACACAAGCTGCATTCCAACTTGAGAACCTTTGCATCCCAAACTGCGTAAGAGAATAACCACCTGAAAGCTGGGAACGCACTGGGAATAAAGAGAATGGAGACACTTCTTACAGAATAGTTATCCATTTGCACTGAAATGTGATGCCAAGCCTGTTCCTTGTGCAGTTCTAAGTGTCATTGTCAACACAACAGAATTCAGGCAAGGCTCCCATTTAATCTCCTATTGCATGAAGGGAGAGTGAAAATGTTTTTTCTGCATTCAAGTTTCTACTAGGCTGAAAAGAGGCCATAGAATTTGACCTAGACTGCTAATCTCTCCAGTAATCCTGTCCACTCAAGGCATGGAAAAGAAACGCTGCCTTGTTTCCTCAAATGGCACACAGAACTTCTAGAATACACTCATACATGAAGATGCATATATGCACTGTTGTCCTCGGGTGAATATATATGGAAGGTGCTAGAGACCACAGATTCCCCTCAACATCTTGTGCTCAATATGCTTTCTGAAGAGGACAACACTTGTTCTGTCTCAGATGCCGTGGGTGGAGCTGACAGTCAGTCAGCATACATGTGACTAGATGTGTGAGTATTACAAGTTTCCAGAAACCCCTTAAAAAGCACAGACTGAGATTTTCTAGGTTGGACTCTAGTTGGATGTGATTTGGGGATTTTTTTAATCTTCACACTCACTTTGTACTGTCATGAATGTTTTATTCATGTTTCCTTTTATTGTTTTTGTATTGACTTTTTAATGTATTGGAAAATGCACTGCTATTCTCCCTCTTCAGCTAAAAAAAAAATAAAAATAATGTTACTCTAATGCTGCAACAAAGAGTCTTAACTGCATTGGCTATTCCAGTGCAACTATTCTGGAGCATCTCCCATCAAAACATTGGGCTCTTGAGTCACTCCTAAACGTAGCTTGTCTTCAACTGTTAGGTTTGCTGAGGGAATCTTTAAATACATACAGGAGTAGAATGTGAAGAAGTTGTGATGTTCCAACCTTGACAGCTGGAGAAATACACGAGGTTCATGTTTAGTTCACAGTAAGCCAACAGATGAGCACAGATCAGAACAGCTGGGGTTATTTCCCCTCTAGACATACATAGAGGGTATCATAATTGGGGTCTTGTTTACTGGGCCATTTCCATTTCCTTTCCTATATGTTGATGAGGTAGACAAGTGTATAGTTCATGAGTTTTCCTCTCAAGCTCAACTTCATAGATTTATAGAGAGATACAGTCCCAAAGCTCTGCCATCCTGGTCACTCTCATGTGCCTGTACCAAACAACACTGATGATCCCAAGAACATTGTTAGCCCTTTCTTACGGACTGAAGTGACTTACAGGACTGGGACCACTCCCTGATCACTCTTGACAGAAACTTGTGAAAGAGTTTCAGCTCACTCATTCTAGCTGTCTGCTTGAAGCTGACTACTGCATGTCTACATTTTCTTCAAAAACAATATTCAAACAACTGTGCCTAATGGCTAGGGTGAGAAAAAGCAAGTATTTTTCAGCAGCAAAGGTTTCAGATTTTTTTCATTCTGCTTTGTATTGTAAGGGGTTCAGAAGAAAATGAAACCCAAGATCTGGGTACTCAGAATCTCAGTGTCACAGAATCAGTATCACTCAGAATCTGGAGTATCACAGGTTAAGCCTTTCCTCACAAGAATGGGTTTTTGAGAACCAGAACTTATTTGTTTCCCCTTCACTTGCAGGTCTTGCAGGATGGATTCTAAGAATTGTTATTTATTAATTCTGTTGCAGTCCCATAAATAGAGATGGACTGTTCCTCACAACAGCACATAAGATTAGCAATTCCCATCATGGAGCAGACCCAAGAACTGCACACGAAATAGCACTGAATTTTGAACCCTTTACTCTGAACCAGCTTACCAGGTGACATCTGTTTTTGCTTACCACATACTGTGCACTAGCTGGAACTTCAGTTCCAAGCTCGGCTGGCACACCAAGTGATAGCCTGATGCTCATCTCCATCTGAGGAATAATCTCTCACACCGTGATGGCATTCTTCTGAAAAAAATGCTAATTTTTTGTTGCCTTTATTATGTCTTTTCAGCTTTGCTGGGCTCTCAGCCATAAATAAAGCCTGCTGATGACTTTGTAAAGTTGTCAGATACCTTTTGTTGGCAGACAATAGGCAACAGGTGCTTGTGATCTGTCCAAGCCGTTATTCCATCTCCACCCCATGTTATTGTAACCTTCCCACCCCAAGCCCATTCCCAATGTGTGACATCAGCCACGTGTAATTGTCATCAGTCATTTAGCTCTGCTTTCAAATCACAGCAAGGCTTTGTTTTTGTTCATGGAACAGGACATGTAGTGTGCACTCTCTGGGTGCATTAAGTCTTTAAGTAGCATACTGACATCTCTTTCTTACATTGAAAATCCCTCTGAGTTCCCCCAGAACCTTTCCAGAGTTTGAGACTAGTGGAATGAGGATGATGTAAACATCACACTTCAACTGGTTCAAGTTGGTTCAAATGGACTCGCATGAGCTGGATGCTGTTCAGAATCTTCTTCTGGTGACCAACGAGGGTGATTCCAATACGCTGGATATCTCTGCGGAAGAACAGAGGACACAGAAGTTGTTAAAATGAACTGCTTGTTCTGAACAGTCTCAGTCCATTTTGCTGTAGATGCAAATCAACATGTATGGATATGTGTGTGTGTGCCTACTTGTGTCTGAGAAACAGCTGACAAGGCTTCTGCTTTTGCTTGACAAATGTGTGTGGGTGGAGGGGGTGTTGGCAGAACTTGGTAGGTACAAAAAAGCAGTGGAATTGGGACACGAAAAGGATCAGAGGGCTGATCTACAGAAAAAAAGATAGTTGGAGTTGTTCAGCCAGAAGAGAAGGCTCCGGAAAGATCTTTCTAAATTTGTAAAGGGGGTTTACTGCAAACATGGAGAATGTCTTTTTACCAGGTCTGTAGTGACTGGACAAGGGGCAGTGGTTTTAAAGAGAAAGAGGGTAGGTTTAGACTGAAGGTAAGGAAGGGTGGTAGGACACGGAAACAAGGTTCCAGGAGAAGTTGTGGATGTCCCATCCCTGTAAGCATTCAAGGTCAGTTTGCACAGTGGTGTGAGCAACATCATCTAGTGAAAGGTGTCCCAGCTTATGGCAGGGGTGTTGGACTAGATGGTCTTTAAATGTCCCTTCCAACCCAAAGCATTCTATGATTATGAGAATGTTTGCTTTCCTGTCTTTTACATAACACTTCAACCCAGTATATGGTGTGGTTGGCTCTACACATCTGCTTAAAAGTGGTTGTTATTATCTGTGCTAGCTGTCATGAACAGGCTCTCTGCAGCACTGGCAAAACATTTTCTGATGCACACTGGATTAGAATTAGTGACTATAGATACAGATTACAAGTGTATCACAGCATGGATGGTGTCCAGAGGCCCTAGTAATAAGCAAGGAATAGTAGCTACTTTTCTTTGGCTTCCCTCTCCTTTTTCATGTGTATATGTTTTCCATACAGCCAGTTTCTCAGACTGCTTTCACTTTCTGCACGGAAAACTCAGTGTCTGGTGTCTGCTGCTCTCTGCTCTGTTACTTACTCCAGAGTCATGCGTGATATAACATCAAATGTAGCCAGACCGGCCTGGTCAAAATTCTCCTTGTAGCGGCCCATCTTGATAGCATCCAACCACTCGTGGGCATTGCTGAGGGACGGGAAATCTGGAGGACAGTTGCTCAGGAGAGGCTGAGATGGTCTGCAAAAGAGGCAGGTTCTAAAACCCAAGTTGCCAGCATCAGTCAGCACACTAGTAAAGGAAGAATTATGAGAGGGAGAGAATGCAGCCTCTGAAGAGGACAGAATGAAGAACTATGACATTTGTTCTTTGTGCCTTGACTCCATAAGTCCCACCTTTATGTGCTGTTTCTAAGCTTCCAGTGTCCCTTTTCCTGTCTGAAAACAATCAACCAACTCAAGAATTTGATTCTCCTTTCCCATTGCCCATACTCTCTCAGGTGCATTCTCTTCTTGTTGCCCAAGATCCTTCCATGCTTTCTTGGTCTATACCTATTAGCTGGGCAAAGAACTGCAGTGAGGAGGTTTCTGAAAGAGACATGAGACCTTATACACCTTTTTACCTTTGTGACTAGGTCTCTCTCTCCTAAATGTTCTCTTAAGGTCAGATAGTGACCTATGAGACAAGTGTGTTGTTTCAGCTCCAACACCCATCAGATAAAAGAATTGCAGTAAAAGGCCAAAGAGATAACGGTTTACATACGGCATTTGCTCTTTTCCTCATCATCTGAATCTGTCTCAAAGCTATAGCACTCTTTATGAGCTGCTTTTAGTAAACTGGCCATCAATAGATACTTTTCCCCTCCCCCAGCTGTGGAGTACATTCCACTGAGACAAGATTTATAACCACAGGGAAAAACCCTCCAGGGCAGCAGGATGTAACTTCGTCATCAGCCCAGCAGCCAACTAACCTTGGCACCATTTATCCCTCCAGAGACTTCTTCTTTGCTGACCTCCTGCCTCTTGTTCCATCAGACTGCAAAATGCAGTTGGGAAAATATGGGATGTAAGCTGCAGTTCTAATTATTCTTATGTAGAGACTTCCTTCCCTCCATAAGCTAAGGTCTTCTTTTACTTCATTATCTCTTGTAGTCACACAATAGGGTGTGATCACATAATATCCTGTGCTGGTGCACCCAGGTATGTCCCTCCCTTCGTTCCCTATGATCCCTCAGTCATTCACCCCAGTGCAACTCATTGAGATTTATCTCCCGTCACATTCAGCACTCAGAGCTCTCCATCAACTGAATCAGGATATATAGTTCTTCCAACCTGCTTCCTCTCTTTTTTTCCACTTCCTGTTTATTCTCAGTCTCAAATGAGAGGGTTAGAAAAAAAAAATAAATAGCCTGATTTATGGCTTTCTTTTCCTCATGATGCCTACTAAGAGACAAGTCCTATTATTTTGCATTAAATCCCCATCTTACCTGCTGGTCCCAGTGCCAATGGCTTTGAGGGCTGATGGCTTGCGAATCATTTTATCCAGGGCACTGACTATTTGCTCAAATTTGGGTCTCTGGACCCGCTCCTTCTGCCAGCAGTCAAGCATCAGCAGGTGCAAAACAGTAGGGCAGTCTGGGGGTGGTGGCAGGCGATAGTCCTGGTCAATGGCATTAATTACCTGCAGGAAAACAAAAACAAAGCTTCATCACAACTGGGAAAATAAAATACAAAAGAGCTTCAATCACTCAGTGTGTGTGCGACTTTCTTCTGCTTGAACTGACAGACACAGGACAGAGAGGAAGATGTACATGTTCACCACTTCTAAAACTTACATCCTGATTGGACATGTCCCAGTAAGGCCTCTCACCGTAGGACATCACCTCCCACATGACAATGCCATAGCTCCAGACATCACTGGAGGAGGTGAACTTGCGGTACTGGATGGCTTCAGGGGCAGTCCAGCGGATGGGAATTTTGCAGCCCTGGGAAGCAGACAGAAAGCAACCAGAATGTAGTGAGATGAGGACTGCTTGTGAAAACAACATCACTGAAACAATCAGATGTTAGCAGCACAACACAACCTGGAGCATGGAGTGACAGTCCCGTTGATTCTTTCTTGGAAACAATGCTGGTTTAAATTCATACTATGTTCAAGGCTTCCACCTTGTTTTACTGACAAGTGTAAATGAAAAGAGAGAATAATGCCTCCTTGCTGCTACAAATCACGTGATTTTATACTTTCACAGCTTTACTTTGCAGCATTTGAAAGTGGCATATAGCAAAATCCTCCTGAGTCACAATCATTTGGAAATCTAAAGCCATTTAAATAATGCCAAACTGCAGCACTAGGGACAGATACACTGAGTAGCTAGCATTAACTCCTTTCTCTGTCCATGTTGACCTCTCTAACTGTAGGTCTGACCTGTAACATGAAATATCATTCAGGTGCTGGTTCTTCAAAATGTACAGATCTAAAAATTGCTCCACTTTTCAGTGACTGAATTCTTCATCCCCTTCTTTTTCAATCCACCTGCTATACTCCCACCCCTTTTGTAGTATGTGTGACAGGTGTCACAACTTCATAGGCAGTAAGCTCATTTGATGGTTGGTTGTAAGCCCATAAATATAGTTAGGCCATTTATCTTTTCTGTAGGAAAAAACCCAGCTCTTTCTTCAAAGAGTGATAGTACAGGATTGTAATCTCTCCATCAGCCCCTTATACCTTCCTATAAAAAGCTAATGAAAGGGGGAAGATAATAGCTACATCGGGCTGTGAGGTTTGACCTATTCACCATCATGCCACAAAGAACAGCACTGAGACTTCCCACAGCAGAGTGGCTCAGATACTCAGTTATTTTTGATTCTTACTGCTTTGGAGCACATAGCCCACAAGACAGAAGGCTCTACTCCACGCTTCTCTATGGTCTCAAGATGGACTAAAGAGGGTACACCCAAACCAAGGAGGAACACATAAAAAAATTCTATCTGTCAACACTACAGCAACTCCCACCACAGCAGTGACTCACCAGACCCCCAGTGTAGGTGGGATTGGAAGCATCATCCTCCAGGAAGCGGGACAACCCGAAGTCTGACACCTTGCACACCAGGTTGCTGTTGACCAAGATGTTTCGTGCTGCCAGGTCACGATGCACATAGTTCATGTCTGACAGGTAGCGCATGCCGGCTGCAATCCCCCGCAGCATTCCCACCAGCTGCAGCACGCTGAACTGCCCTTCCTTCTGCTGCAAGGGACGAGGCAAACACAGGCTCTCAGGGCCACAGAACATGAAGCCAACAGGGGAGACTAACAAAGAGCAAGGTAACAAGGTGGATTTATGAAGTTAGAGAACACACATCTGCCTTTCAGCCCAAACCTGAAGGTTCAAGGACAACAAATACCAAAGGAGGGTGGGCTGAAAGCAATGAACCTCAAATAAAATCAGACATTGGTGATCTTTTCCTGAAAGCAAACCTCCTCTTGTGGCCATATCCACCTTTAGCATCCTACACCTAATCTCACTAACTACTAAGATGGCTAAATGAATGCCAGCAGACAAATCTGCTTTTACTAAGAACTTTTCAATGGCTTCTATGCAGTTCTACTCAACGGGTTCATGTGCTTTTCAAATCGTTCCTGCCAAAGCATTTGTGCCTGAATGAGCAGATGAATCGGTAAAAAGGAGAAGTGAAGTAGCTATACTACACAGATTGTCCATATTTGTGTTCCATTACTAGAAAATTTGAAATCCAACAATAACCACAGGTTTCATTGCTTCATTAGAATGTTGAAACTTGAAAATATTCTGTGAAATAAAGTCTGAAAAACATTATTAGAAAGCAAAAATTTGGAACACGGACATAAGCAACTGAAAGGGTGTGTACAAAGATTTGGTTTACATTAATTACTGGAGTTGAAGAAGTCTAAAATATTGAAATTTTATATGGTTGTTGAGCCCTTGGAGTAGTTTCACCATTTGGCCCGAAATGACTTTCTGTGGCTATTTGCTATCATTTCTATTGCACCTGTAGAGGGCAACTGAGGACTTAGGGAGACAGGAGTGTAGAGGAAGGACAGGAAAAAATTATCATGCTTGAAACTGGCACACAGCGAGGTGAAGAGGTTAACGGTTGTGGGAGACTCTGTGGTACCCTGAGGAAGGAATCCAGCGATCCATTCTCCATGAACTCTGTGACAATCATGACTGGTCGGCTCTTGGTGACCACCCCCTCCAGGTGGATGACATTGGGATGCTCAAATTGCCCCATGATGCTGGCCTCACTCAGGAACTCCCGCCGCTGCTCCTCTGTGTATCCGGACTTCAAGGTCTTAATAGCCACCATGTATTCACGCTTCCCTGGGTGTTTTAGGCGCCCAAAGCACACCTCTCCAAACTCTCCTGTCAGGGAGGGAAAAACACACCTCAAATAAGGAAACACAGCAATGGATTTTAGTCAGATGTAGTAAAGCATTCTACTGTGGACAACTTCGGGCGATGCTTGGAAATAGGGTTATGGGATCGTATAGAGTAAGGCAAAGTTTTTGGTGAAGGTTGGAGACTACTACATCTTCAGGGTTCAGATGAGGAGTTCTGAGTCTTCCAAGGGTGTTTTAAACTTGGTTTAGAGCCAGCATCTAAGGGTTGGCAGGTTAAAAATAAATGTTTAGATATCCTGGGACACTTGATGTACCATGGATCCAAGGGTCCATTTCAGGCAAGTAGTGTGCCAGGTCTCAAGGTGCACAAGAAGGCACTTTAAATAATCTGCAGATTCTCACACTACCTGATCCAATGACCTCCTCAATCTTGATGAGCGACACATCAATCTCCTTGGCAAATTCTCGAATGGCTTCATTGGGATCTTCATAGGTTGAAGGATCAATGTAATACTTCACTCCAAGTCCTGCAGTGGGGGAAACAGCCCAAAACATCACCAGAATCAAACCCTGAGACAGACAGGTGTTAATGAGTCCTGAAGAGATAGGCCCTTGCCATCTGTTGCTCAAACACACTTACCTCGTGCACCGATATACTGCTGCAGGCGGTCTGTGTATGGAGTCTCTCGCCTTTTACTGCAGGACACAAAGGAAAGGAAAGTCAAAACACACACAAGAGTCTCTCATCAGATGCTGGGGTAGGCTTCTCAGTGCAAGGCTCAGAGAATCCTTGATATTAGGGGTAGAAGATGGATGTTAAGATCCTGCCCATCTCCTGGTAACCAGTGCATGCTTGTTTTCTATGTGGTGGTTTTTGTACCATTGTTGGCATCCCCACTTTAGAAATGACAAATGATAGGGCTTCCAACACTATCCTGAAAAAGAATATTACAGTTTAATGTTACTGCCTTGGAAGTTTACTTGCTATCCAGGCTAAATTTGCATTTTAATTTAATTTAATTACAACAAATTATTCTTTTCAATTATAATGTATGCCTTCTTCTGTGATGCCTTTTAAGTTCTTCAAAAACATTCTGACAGACATTTACTCTAATGCTTAATATGTATAGAGCTCCCCCAATTATTTTTCCTCCTGGCTTTGTTTAACAGCATTTACTTTGGCCCTTCTACTTGTAAGTATGGTACCCAAACCAAACCACACAGACCCAAACAGATGGAAATCTGTTCCTTGATCTGTTCTTTGATTTTGCATGTGCAGATCAAAGCAGGTATGGTCTTTATTATTGTAAGGTTTATTGCATATATGCATCTAATTTCCAGTAAGCATAGGTCCTTCTCAGCATAGGCATTTCTCAGATTTCATTCTCCTTCTGAATGTGTATGGTTCAATAATTTATTTCCCACACAAACTAATTATTTTAGAAGTTTCACTCTATTCTTTGTTTGCACTAAATCTATTTGCCGTTTTCAAGCTACTTCCTTTGTTCCAAGCAGTGTTCATTTTTTCAAAAATGTACATTTCATGCTAGTTTCCAACCATCCTATTAATTAGGGACCAGATTGTAAACCAAACCCTACAGTATCCTGCAGTATCCCTGCTGTCTGCATGGATTTGTGTCAACTCATGTTTTGCTGTTTCAGCATGAGACCTTTTAGCTGCTGATTCAATTAGCATTTGAAGGCAAAGTATCATGAAACATTATGTTACTTTTCTTTATGAACATAAGTAATTCTGACATTCTAACAGCTAACTGTATTATTCTTACTTGTCAGACTTATCTCTTTAAATTCTGCTTTCAAAACCACAGACAGTTTTGCCTTCAAAATCTTCCCTCTTGTGCAAAGAAATTGGCTTTGCTGGGGGCCTGTACCTAAGAGCTCTAACTCCATTGTTGAACCTGAAAGCCAAGTCTACAAAAATGTTTTTTGTAGGTTATCAAACAAATTAATTGTTTTCCATATAAAAAGCCACCAAAACAATTAACTAAAATGGGTGCTTCACAATGCATATTGCCTGAAAAATGTGTACCAACATTTTATGAAAACAAGTTAAAACCATAGCATTTGACTCTACATATGTTCAACCTTTTAAAGAACTACTCATTTCATCTGGTGTTCCTCATTTTCTGCATATTCAAACTTACTTTTCTTATCAGGGACAAATTTAAAAAAGAAATTTGGTATCTCCACTTTTTATGAAAAACTGTCTGTTAACTATACATAATTCTTTAAGTATAAATGAATGTATTTTTTATGATATTTCCTCATATGTATATTTACAGATGCCATTAATGCCTTTCCCCAACACAGTTTTGATAATATTAACTTATTCTGGGTTTGGTTTATTTTTTTTAGAAAAATATATGCTTTATTGAGTTGTGCACATAATATCACATTTCCAGCTGTAACAAAAAATTGTATTTTTAACAGTTCAAAGCAATAAAAGGAGGCAACATTTCAGATATAACAGTATTTGATAATTATTTTCTTTCCAAAAAGAAAAATATTAAGAGAATATACACAAGAGGAGAAAACAAATGTAGAAAAGGGAAGAGAACAAAGAAGAAATCATTAAAACTAGACGTCACTTTCTAAAGTTGTTTATACATTTTTTTAGGTCAGCAGAAAAAGCTAAAAAATCCCTCTTGTGCAAAGGCACAGTAAAGCAAAGATACAGAGATCCATTACTGACAATCTAGGGGATTAAGTTCAAACCTCAGTAAATTCAAGGAGCTGGTAATGACTGTTTCTTTTCTTCAAATAACAAAACCCCCATTGTTTACTTTTGTACCTCTACAAAAATAGCAACCCTTACTTTTTTCTCTTTAAAATTTCTTTTTTTTTTTTCTTTTTCCCTGTAAGATATTATCTCTACAATCTTTTATATGCCCTTTATTCTTTCCAAAATGGGAAGTGATATTTGCTTTCTTTAACCTGTATTTTATGAGCTAGTGTTCCATGGAACCATTGGTTTGTATAGATTTTATTCTTCAGCAAATGAGCCCTTGTCTTGGTCCTTGGTAAAAGGGTATTTATCACCTTCTAAATAACTGGATATGCATACTTATTCCACCAGTCTTTCTCCACTACATTGTTTCATTCTCCACTTGCTTGCCTAAAATGCAATTTACAGTCCCTGCTTCACAGCGATGGATTTAAATACCTTTTGAGTACCAGCTTTGAAATTATTTCCTTGTGTTCATATTGCTAACTAGCCAAATATCAGCTAAGTACATGAGTGGTTTACCAAAGGAGAGGCTCCTCAGATAGGAGTACTGGGGCAGGATCTTTCCTTAATTAGAGAATGGCATCTCAAGGACATCTGGATAAATGCAGATCAGGCTGTATCCCTTGGGACGGGGTTATGTTGCGGGGGTAAGGAAGTTCCACTGTCTGAAGTGCACATGAGCAGGTCAAGGAATTCACCTCTTGAAGATGATGGCAAGGATGGCAATGGCAGCAATTACCAAGAAGGCCAGGCCCCCGAGCGCTGAGCCCACGATCAGAGGCAGTCGGTCCTGCACCATCTCCGAGCGCTCCCCTGGCGAGGAAGACACATACACAAACATGGATGCAGAGGACAGGAAATGTGCAGAGTTTCCCTTCTCGCCTAGATCTCACCCATAATTCCATCCCTACCAGCCCTTTGCCCCCCAAGTCACTGTGCTTCTCCAGTGCCTTCCTTCCTACATTCTGAAATGCCAGTGCTCCCTTTGAATCCCCTTTCTCTTCCCCTGGTCCACTGACAGCTGACAAGCCACTTTAGCACAGGCGAGCTCTACACCTGGGCTGCAATCCCACTGCCCCCTATTAATGTAGCTTGCCAGGGACATACTTGAGTACCTTTGATCCATACCAAAAGGATGGTGATCCTGCTGGAAGGCAAGCTTCTGCACAAATACCTGTGTCCCATCTACCTTTGTGTCCTGTGTCCCACCTGTCTTTTAGACACTGGCAGAGCTTTCAGCTGTAAGATATCCCGTGACAGCTGGGGGCCAAACTACAGCAGTGTGTAACGCTACGTACTGCCACATTCCCCTAAAGCGATTTTTACTGGCACACTCTGCACCTGCTGGTCAGAGGCACAGACAAGGACAGGCACAACAAGGAGCAGGGCTGGGGAATATGGCAGTAGCACAAACAATGCCCTCTGGCAGCATGGAGCTTCTCTGGGGGAACAAATCTGTATATGCAAATTACTATAAACAGAAATACAAGTTGAGTAGGAGTGTCTGGTAGCAGCCCTCCAGAGGATAAGCCAATACAGTCAGGGACACAGGCAAGTGGAAGGTGATCACATGCAGAGCTCAGCACAAAATGGCAGCACTTACCTCCCGTTGAAGTCTGGAAATACATCTTCCCGCTGTAAGGACCGTAGCCGATTGCTGTCCTAGCGCGCACTTGGAAGGCGTAGATCTTGCCTGGGCTCAGACTTGATATCGTGGCCATGTTGGTCTCACTAGTTAAGGTCAATGAATTATCCTCATCCTCTGCCTGTGAATGTCAATGACCAAAAAGGAATGTGAAACTTCTGCCTACACTGCTCGCTCCCTGCATCGAGGCATGACAGTTTCCATGTCAACCCAATATTCTCTGAACCTTCACAGAGCCTCCCAACAACAGCTGCTATTCCAGACCTTACTTCCTTGCACACTACTCATTTCTCACTGCTGCTTTTCATTCCCCCAGGCCTGGGCTTCCCACAAAGCTCTGCTAAAGACTCTCAATCCAAACATAAATGAAAGACAAAGCTTTGTCCTGAGGTTCACTTTCTATAAACTTCAAACTCATTTGCTCTCCTAGGAGAATTCAGAGCAAGAACACATATAAAGCTGTATCCAGGAAGCTGCTACACACAAATAGCAATAATAATAGTTATTAATAATTAGTAACAATACTTTCTTATCACAACTAGCAGTCCTTTTTACCACCAAAAAATAGGAGCTCTGCAAAATCCTGCAAAAGTATACATGTGAAAGACATAAATAAATAAGACATAAATGTGTAATATGGAATGGGAGTTTGTCTGAACAGCCCCACACATCTCTTCCCCTCAAGTCAGATGGATTAGGAGTCACAAGACATGTGAATGGAGGACAAAATTGTATTTGCCAGCCCCTAAGTCCAGCACACAAAGAGGTATTTTCCACTTAGCGAATGAGAGTGTATTCCTCCTCATAAAATTTCTTAGAAATGTCTGGCCAGGCCTAAATGGGGACACAAGACTTCTCCTCATAAACAAATGACAGACTTGCAGTGAATCCTGTTCCAGTAAACATATTTAAAAACTTCAGCTCCTTCCACTGTTACCTGTATCAGCTGATACTAAACTTATGGTTAGCTGCAGCTTTTAAACTTAAACAAATGTCTTCTCTTTTCCTAATTTTTTCCTTGTCCCTAGATGCTTCCAAGCTGGGAAATGCAGATGGACTGATGTCAAATGACATGTATATCACAAACTTCTGGTCTTGCTAAAGTTTTTTGCATTTTCATAACTGAAGCACTCTTTTCCACCTTGTTCATCCTGATGCAGGGGTGCATCACCCAGACAGAAAGTGCTCGGTATCACTTTCTGCTCACCTTGTCAAAGTAGCGTAGCTGGTAATCCAGGATGATCCCATTGGGCTGGTCTGGCTGAGGCCACGACAGAGTGATGCTATTGGTAGTACGACTCACCTGATGCATCATAGGCACAGCAGAGGGGACTGGAATAAAAGACAAAAAGGAGAGATTGCAAAGGGATAAGCTTAAAAATGAGCTATAATTGAATATTCCTTATGATGAGTTAATAGATTAGGCCAGCACATCCTTTAATTTTCCTTAATTTCCATCATGAAGTACTTTGTAAAAGAACCAGAAGAAATCCAGGCACGATACTACACCACTGGGAGATACAGTCATTGACAACTCAGACTGAAATAAAATGAAGAAATCCAGGTCCAACTGATCTACATCTATATCTCTGATGCAAAAAGCAAGCAGGGAACAGAGCCTGTGTGAAACTAACCCACACAGGCTTCTTGCTCTGGCCTGGGAAAACATAAGAAGGAATCCAAACAATTCTTGGTAAAGGACAACAATCGGTAGGTGTTGTTTAGTCAAGGGGTGGCGTTCCATTTAACCAATGATGGTGATGTGCTACTTTAATGATCAATGAGTTTTACCTCTCAGACCTTCTCAAACATGTGTGTAAAAGAAGATTAAGAATAATAAACTTTGCTCTCTTGGACAGTGCAGCTAAGGGAATCAGTGTCGTGCTTATCACTGTTCCTAATATTGTGCAACAAACTGATTATGCACAGGAGTTAAGAAATTATCTATATTATCACTGGAATATAATTCTGATCTTCAAATGTGCAATTTTTACATATAAGATGAGATGCTCCATGCCACTGCCTTGTTTTAAGATCATGCTTGGACAAAGAATATGAGAGTGGTCAGAACAAAAGTAGAGCACATTACTTCTTTTCCGCTTCTCCCTCAGACTGTAATTCTTTTCCTGGGGGGGAAAAAATCATGCATGGGCTACCAGAGTAGTGGAGGCCTTGCATATGAAGCATTGTGGAGAATGGAAAACCACTTCTACCAAAACCATACATGAACCCACGTACACACACATGCACACTCTCTGGGTTCATGCAAAAGCTAAGAGTGTATGAGTTGCGTCTTGGGAAGAGATTTCCAAGCAAAAATTTCAGGACAATTTTAAGAGGATCTTTCAGCCTGCCAGCTGTCTTTCCATAAAGGTCTTCGCAAGTTTTACTTTCTCTCTGCAATGAAAATGTCATGTTGCCAAGAAACTTACAGGTAAGCAGCTAAGGTATCCTCATTTTCCTAATGGATGCAACATTTTCAGCAACATTTAAATTTTCCAGAAAAAGCACGCCAATGAAAAGCTGCCACCAAACCCCACCAGTTTTAGAAAATAAACATAAACTTCCTTGATGTGAAGAATGAAGCAGAGACATTTGGCAAATGATCAAAACCTGCAGAATAGCATTTTCTTCCCTCATTAATGGTGAAAAAGATAAAAGGATTGTTTTTAATAACAAGATAAAATTATTCTGAAAAACATATTTCAGATGGGCTTCAAACAGCTCAGGCAAGTGGGAACTAATTTAAAAATGTAAATGAAACAGAATAAGAGTCTAAGCAATAAAATGCTTTCTCTCCTCATTACTCCTTTTATTTTTTACCATTGCTTGTCCTTCAAACAAGATTACACAACTACTTCACCTGCCAATGAGAATGTTGTGACAAGAATGGAAGAGAGCAACAATTATCCAAGACCATATGTAGCATTTAAGATGCAAATGAATAACCCTGTATTAAAATGTCAGGAGGTAACTGGTCAGTTAACATTTGACCAAGACAGACTCTGTTACATTTAATGTTCCAAAAAGTTTAACTCTCTTCCACTGAGACACAAAGCAAACACATAGGAGAGGCACAAACCTAAATGCACAACTACATTTCCAGGGAACAGACCACTTCCTTCTAAGATTTTACAGAATGATCAGAGTTAAATCTTCCCTCAATTCCTCTCCTCTCCACCTCTAACTGTTATTCTTCTCTTGCTTCTCATTTCTTCCCAATCCCAAACTTTTCCCCTACCTGGAAGAATTAAACAAACAAATAACAAAAACATCACTCAGGTGTATCTCTTGACCATGTGCCACAGCATTCTAGAATGTTTCTATTATCCATATATGTCCAACACTCAGGGTAATCAGATGGTGACAGGGGGAGGCAACCAGGTTACTGCAGTCTGTTCTATTAAAAATAGTAATTTCAGTCATTTACACCTAATAAGCAGACACTGCTTAGAGCAAAAGCCATGAAAAACATTAAAGAGCCATCAGAAATAAAACCAGCCATGAATCACTGCAAGGCAGGTTGTCTTTAATCTGCCTCTCTGAGACAGAGTTTAGATATTGATACGTTTGCCTCTCTTTTAATGACCTAAAAAATCATGAAACACTGGCCAAGGAGCTCTTCCATCACTTCAAGTAAAAGAGATACCAAGATTTCTCTGTTGAAAAATTTCATACTAACATGGTATAAATACTAATACTAAGGTGATGAGCAATGCAAACATAATTGTTGGTGGAGTAAGTACATATTTCCTTATTTTCAGAGGTGTATTATAAGGTTATTCTCTCAGAGTTAATACATTAGGAAATAAAAAGTTCGAGATTTTATGTCTATAGACATTCAAAGTACCATACCTCTGCCACCACAGGAGTGTTAGATGAGTATTTTCATTTTTCTGCATGCCAACTACTAAAAATGTTTATAACAGAACTTTGCTTTCAAAGCTTTCTTTTGTATACACAAATGTGTCTAGGTCTATATTGATTTGTCTGTTTTATTATTTTATTTTTACATGACATTTATAGACATAGATGTGTTAGATCCCTGTCTAATGGCTGCTGAAATCACAGTGCCTGATTCAATCCAATCTGGGCAGCTGGACTAGATGATCATTGTAGGTTCATTTCCAACTATTCTATTCTATTCTATTCTATTCTATTCTATTCTATTCTATTCTATTCTATTCTATTCTATTCTATTCCTATTCTATTCTATTCTAGAAAAAAAAAAACCCATGCTTTGAGATCAGATCTTTTATAAAGACTGAAAAAGCAGTTCTTTTTGTATGCAATTTAAATAATAGCAAATGTATGGAAAATTCTTGCCCACATAAACCTAGTTAGAGCTGTAAAGAAGTGCAAACACCAGTTAAATACAACTCGATCTTTTATAAAAGACTGAAAAAGCAGTTCTTTTTGTATGCAATTTAAATAATAGCAAATGTATGGAAAATTCTTGCCCACATAAACCTAGTTAGAGCTGTAAAGAAGTGCAAACACCAATTAAATACAACTCCCAGATTCTGTATTTTGTGGGTTGTCAGTTGCAACCCTTCTACATTGCAGGACTATTTTTTTCCTGGCAGCAGACACGTGCCTGCAAGACTAAAAATCTATCTCAATGAACAGACTAGGTAAGGAAGGGATGTGAAGGGAGAGAAGACTCATGTAAAAATACATGGCACCCCTCATTTATGCAGAGCACAGCCAAGTGCTGTTCTTGACAGACCATGAGCATTTCTGTTACGTGACATTCAGATCATACTCCATTCTTGGAAGATACTCCAGGAGAGCCAATGTGACCCCTTTGTGGTTCTGTCTGGACGAGTCCCATGGGATAATGCCCTGGAAACAAGAGTGGCTCAGAAGAGCTACTTCATGTGCAATGGACTACTTCTTCCAGGTGCAAAAGCAGTCCATCCCAACAAGCATGGATTCAGGCAAAAAATGCCAACAGGCCTGCATGTATGAACAAGGAGCTCATACCTAAACTCAGACACAAAAAGGAAGTACATAGAGGGTGGAAGCATGGACAGGTAGCCTGAGAGGAACATGGAGGCACTGTTCAAACAAGTAGACACATGGCTAGGAAAGCCAGAGCCTACCTGGAATCACATCTGGCACCTCATGCCAAAAGCAACAAGGGTTTCTCTAAGTACAGAGGTGGCTCAAGAAAGAGGGAAAATGTGAGCCAGCTGCTGGGTGGTGCAGGGGTCCTGGTGACACAGAGCATCTTCTTCACATCAGTCTTTACCAGCAAGTCTTGCCTTTAGGAACACCAGGTCCTGCAAACCTTGGGGAAGTCTCCAGCTGAGAAGATCATCCTCATGCCAGATCAGGTGACTGAATATTTAGGCAAAGTACATCATTCCATGGGCCCTGATGTCATTTTGAGGGTACTCTTGATAATCTTAGCATCATCTTTGTGACTGTGAGAGGTGCCTGAGGACTAGTGGAAAACAAATGTCACTCCTCTCCTCATAAGGGAAAGAAAGGGATATGCAGGCAGCTAAGCCTCACCTTCATCCAAAGGGGTTGTTGAGTCCTCAACCTTGGCAATATTCAAAAGTGTTCTGGGTGTGGTCAGGGGAAACTTGCCTGAGGTGACCCTGATGAGCAGATGGGTTGGAGAATATGTTCTCCAGAAGTATCTTCCGAGCTTAGCCATTTTCTGGTTCTGAGGAGACATCCATTCAGCAGTCCTGACTAGATATCCACAGAATACAATAGCAGTTCAGCTACTCTTTTGGCTCGTGGGTCATCACTCAGCTGGGATTCCAACGAAACCCTACCAAGACCTGTGTGTTATATCTAGTTACTTATGTGTTTTCTTCCCCTTCCATCTTGCCCCAAAATCTTCTGAAGTTATGCAGTTTGATTAACCTCAGTTAGCCAGAACAGCCTCTAATGTTCACTAACATTGGCTCTACATTCTCTCATAGTTATTTCACTTTTGTTACCTCTTCATGTATCCTGTTCTCATATTCCAGGCAGATGACATGAAGACCCTAGACTTGTTCCTAGCTTTTTTCCAGCTTCCCAAATATCATCTTCTAAGAAGATCAGTCTGAATGCAGCATGGAAATTCCCTTCTTGGTGTGTTTATTATCCTATCTTTATTTTGAAAATGTCCTACATTTTTCCACACATTTCAATTTAGTTCTGGCCCTTTCTCTAAATACCCAAAAATCCTTTAAAAGTATCTTGGACAGTCTTCTGTCACAACCTTGTACTTTTGCTCCCTATGGATGAAAAGTGCTTTAAAAGGGCAAATCACTCAGTTATTTTAACCTCCCTTCCCACTCATGTTATTAGTTTTTTGTATGCATTCCCTTGATGCTTAATAAAAAGGAAAGTAGCCTTTTATGACACAAGTGTTTTGCTTTGTATTTTATACTTATTGTATTTTATTGTATTGTATTTTATACTTGCTCAAAAGGTTTCTGACTTCATTTAAACAGTAAGTGAAACCTACCTTTTGAAAACAACCACATTCATTCTCTGCTTATGTTGCAGAGATTAGGCATAGTAAAGAGAGAAACTGGAGTAGCTCCTTTTTGTGGAGTGATTGTAGAAATTGTTATTAATTCCCAGTCATAGCTCAGCAAATCCATTAAAGATGGCTAAGTTGACAAATGTCATTTATGTCACTAAGGAAAAAATGTGTTTTAGTTGTTCCCACATGAATAGAAAACAAGAAAGTTGACTTCTTAGGGAACTTTGGTGAGTGCTCAGGGATGGCAATTAGATCATAAATAAGCAAACAGCTAACGACTGAAAAACAATGTATTTCATTCAGAGGACAATGAACACTCACACTACTTGCTGCTGGCTTTAACCTGGCAAAACACAACAGCATGTAGCTTTTGACAGCTCTATTCTTATTTCTTTTTGTTTTGAACTAGAAAATGCCTTGCCTTTGTCCCTGCTTTTGCCAGCTAAGTCTATTGTACTCTTTTGGCTCTCTTTGGAAAACCAAACATCTTCAAGCAATTCATCATTTCCCTTCACAATCTCATAATCATACTTGGCATTTAATTCCCTTCCTCTTATCACACCACTTCATGTGAAAATCTTCTGTCAGGTCCTCTTAAACTTTCTGGCACTACCCAAAAGTGTCCTTGTCCCCACTCAGCCTCTTACACAATCCTTCTGACTGTCTAGCACTCATTTCTGCAGCGCTACAGATTTCTGGTATTGCCAGGTCCCACTTCTCTGATTCCCACTGATGCAGAAGACTGCTACATATATTTTCACAGGTACAAGGCAACCTGGTCAGATAACCTTTATCTTCAAATACCTCTACTAGCTCTCAGAATGTCTGGACTCAGCTAAAAAAACAACTTTGGCTTTTAAAAGTCTGCATTGATTTGTTCCAACATTTAAATCTCTGCTGCCTTTCTTTTTTCTTCTTCTTTCTAGGAATGTAACAACTGCCTGAACAAATAAGTTCAGTAGCATTTCTCTGGCAACAGGCATTACTACATGCTTCAGTGAAAGCTGCAGGGAAAAAATGGTAGTTACGGGTAGTTACAGCTGTGCATAGAAAAAGTTTTTTCACAGTCCTTTAAATAAAAACCTGATTTCTGTCCTGAGACATGAGAAGAGATATTTGTTTACCCTGATAAATACACTTGCAGATGTTAAAATAATGCATAAAAATGTAGTCAGTTTTATTTTTTGTAATAATATGGTAGGAGTTTAAGTTCTTTGCATTTTTGTGTGTCAGGTTCACACCTGTGAAGAAATATAACTTCATTAGAATTACATAATTGCCTTTCATCATGTGGTTCCTGCTATCTGGAACAGCCTTCCAACATCTCTCTATACATCCTGACATTTATTTAGGTATTCACCCTCAGCACTTCAAACCTGAGCTGAAAGCAATTCCCTTCTCTTGTCTCATCTCTGCACAGTTCTTCCGGTGATTAGCATATCATATTTGCATTTCACAATATTACTATCCAAACAGGTTTTATTACTGCAATCCAAACAGGTCTCACGTTTCAGGTTAAGTCTTACAGTAAAGGAGGTTTTTCAGTGCCAGCCCTTCTAATTCTGATTTCAAGCACGTGGTCACTGAAGAGTAGGAACATCATGATCAGTCTGCCACAGAAAAATGTGATTGTGTAACCAAAGGATCCTATCATGCTCTGAAGAAGGGCCAGAAGGCTGTGAGGGGTAAGCAAACTCTTGGAGGAACAGCGTTTTGGAGACAAAGATGAGTGAATAGGTATCATGGGAAGAAGAAAAAGAAAAGTCTGTGTTTCCACACAGAACATTGCCAAAGATACCTCTAACAAAAGGGAGGAATATTTTTTGGGCCAGCAATTAGGAGGAGAGAGAGAACTCAGATGCATGTATGAGTAAGCAGAATCTTCAGAAACTGCCAGGACTTGAGGGTCTTTTTTTAGGTCATCTTTAATTCAATGGAGAGGAAATTTTTGCTATGGCCCTTTATCCTGACACTCTACCTTTTTCTGGTTTGCTTCTTTTTTTTTTTAAATACCCTCCATGTTTTCCCCTTTTTCTCTCAGCATGTAAAATCTTGAAACTTACATATCTTCTTGTATAATAATAATAATAATAATAATAATAATAATAATAATAATAACAACACGACATCAACAAGCAATGCTAAAGTGAAAAGCTGGTGAAGGGATCAAAAGGAGGGGGTATGGACAAGACAGGCCACGTGATGGAGGAAGCAGGGCCTTGTTAGTATGAGCTGTCAGTACAAATCGAGGGCAGCTCATCTCAAGCTCACTCCCAACAATCCCAAGGAAAGCAAGGAAAGAAAAACTGTGACCAAACACAAGAAGCCACTCAGTACACACTGAAGTTTAAGTAAGTTGTCCTCCCCTGAAACAACTATACTGCACAAGAGAGGCACCTTAGGGAGAAGCACCCAACACACACAAGACACCCAGAGACACTACAAGAAACCTGGAAGAGGAGTGGTCAGAAAATTCAAACAGAAACAGAAGAGGGTAGATTTTGTGATTCCGGGAAGGAGGAGGAAGCAGCTCCTCAATTCAGTTATCTCTGATATAGATAAAGAAGGTTGAGATGAGAGGATGAGATGTTAGTAGAACACCCACCTTTCACCAAGAGAAGCCAAAGGAACTGCCTGGAATTACCATACAAATTACCCAGACACATTTTACTGTAAACAAAAATTGATCACCCACTTGCAGCCAGCGTCTTAAGGGGACCAGGAATCCCAGAGATGCTTTGCTACTTGATGTCTGTCAGATAACATTTCAAAGGGAACAAACAGATCAACCCCTTGGCATCTGTTAACAGTAGGAAATTAGTTGGGGGGGTATATATATTCCCTTTCTTTCCATATAATAGAAGCACAAATGATAAGATGTGATTTAACCAAGCCCATGATGCCACATCTGGTTTCACAGCACTTCTCTGGAGCTTTACCAAAACCTTGTTTTGCAGGGGTTTCCACACTACACTCTGGAATCTCATGCGGGATTTTTTTCAGTTTAACATTTACACAACTCTAAATGTTTGCAGACATTTTCTGTCACTCAGTTCAAAATGTTCCCCCTCTTTCTCCTCTTCATCACATTACTCCTCATTATGTCCTCTTAAACAAGCTGTGTATAATTCCTCTCTGTATTAGCTTATACATGCGTGTGAAGAACAACATATGCCCAGTCTCTTAATGCTGACATTTAGCGGATTTCTCTGCCTGGATGTGTGTGTCTCTCTCCAGCTCAAGTCCCTGTAAATGATGTTTACAGGAAATAGAACTCCTCTGACTGCCCACACAACCCATTAGTATCTTAGTTTAGTCATCCCCACGGTTTAGTTTCTAGTTACAAGGATCACGACATCTTTGAATGTAACTGCACAACACATTTTAATATTTCTACCATGTAAAGAGCAAAAAAAAAAAAAAAATTTGTTTCTTACTAAGGGGAGAGTAAGACGATGAAATGGAGAAGAGTAGGGGATAGAGAAAATGAATAGCTTCCCTGGCAAACTGTATTGAAATAATAGACAGGGGTCTCCTCACCTGACTGGCTGGTGCTAACATTGATGGTGGCAAAGTGGGGTGCTTCTGAGCTCAGCTCCGTCACCAAGTTGACGGCCTGGATCTCGAAGGTGTAGTGCACACGGGCCAGGAGGTTGGAGACCTGCACGCGGCTCTCGGTCAGCCCCACCTGGCGCGGCTCGAACTGGACGCTGTCCCCGCAGCGCACGCACGGCCCCGCTGACCCCGCCGGGCACACCTTGCAGATCACGTTGAAGAAAACGTCCTTGCGGCCACCCAGGTCCTTCGGGAGGCGCCAGGTCAGCAGCACGTTGGAACCAACGATTTCATAGCTGAGGTCACGAGGAGCAGAGGGGATGCCTAGAAAACAGAATGAAGGATCAGAATCCCATGAAAGAATGGGAGAGAGGTGAGGGAAGGCAGGAGGCAAAGCAAAGGGAAAAGAATAGAAGAACAAGTTGCTCCTTCTCATTCTTACTCTTCTTTAATTGTTTCTTGGAGTGAGGCTCAGAAAAACACACTCTTTGCTAGATCAAGCACACACATTAACAAAGGAACAACTGTATTAGCACATTTTAGACAAACAAAATTACAAAGAAGAGTGTTTGTTTCAAGGGTGTGACTTTTTCATGTCCTTAAAAGAACAGCCATGGCTTAGGGAAGTGCCAATCCCTTAAAATTTTAAACTTTACACAAGCTTAGTAAAGATTTCTTTCAGTGAGACCTGTAATTCTCTCCTTTGGCTCCTAATATCTCTGAGCTTTCTCAGACTTCAGTTAACCTGTTGCATCTGTTCCAGGAACTGGACACCAGTTTTGCCTGCAGTTATTCCTGGTGCCAGCCAGATTCCTCAACGGCATCAGAGGTAAACTCTGACAGCTGAAAAACTACCCATTCTGTGCATCCAACACTTCCCTTCATGACACAGAGACAGTGAAGAGAAGGAGGAAAATGCAATGGGTGAGAAGAAGGCATGGGGATGAGAATGGGACAAGACACTGCACCTAAGAAGTGAAAAGTTCAGAAAGGTAGAAGTAGGCAGCAGAATTGCACTGCTAAGCCTAGGCACAGACACAAAAGAAGACGGGAAGGGCCAGGACAGAGAGGCTGAGCTCAGTAACAGGGAGGGGCAAGGGAAACATTATTTACAGATCATTTCCCTCTGAAGGCTGTAATGAAACCCAAGAATCCTCATTCTCACCATCACTCTGTAGTCAGGTGCAGGACTGGTTACTTCAAAGGTCTTGAGAATAGGTGAACTGCAAACCCCCCAATCATTTGAACACATTCTCTCTCCTTAACTGCCCTTCTTGCTTCCAAACACTTCATCCAAACACTTACCAGTGCAGGGAGCATCAGAATTGTCTGAAGCAGATCGGTAGTACCGGTTCTGACACACACATTCCTGGGAACCTGGCAGTGGAGCGTGGCTGTGGGCAGGGCACAGGTGGCAGGGGTCATCTCCTACAGATGCTTTGAAGAAACCAGGGGCACAGGCTAAGAGGAGCAAAATAAGAGAGACAAAAGCAGGAAAATCATTAATTCAGATTTCAGAAACACTATAATCTTATTTATATTTAACTTGTGCTGCTACTGCTGGGAGAAGTTATTGCACAGAGCTACTACTGGTTTTGGTTCTTAATGGAGTATATTTTGCTAAAGTTGCCATTTCAAAACAGTTTGTTTTATTCTATATGTAAGTGCTTAAATTGATTCACTGGCAGATGAAAGAGAACCAGTCCTGAGACAGCTTTGGCCACCTTGAATCATTGTCTTCTCATTATTCACTCAAAGAGCTTTTAAATTGGAGAAGCCAAAGAGCCCAGCCAGGTGATTTGTCTTGAAATATCAAACAGTTACCCACACCTCCTTCCTCCCCCCCAACACAGACACAAAATTGGATTTTTTATGCTGCCTACAACAGTTTCATTGCTTAAAGTAATATACACAACCATTGCTGATTTTGCATTAAAACTAAGAGCAGACACTAAGACTGGCAGTCCTATTATTTTTCATGTAGGTCTGAAAACTTCCCAGTAATGGATAAAAGCATGTTAATTAGTCAAATTTAATCTGAAAATGCATAGGAATATGTATATGCAACAAGCTGAAACAAGGATGGAAATCCATCCTACAGGGAAAGAAAACAAAAAAATAATTTATTAACTATATGGGAGTATGGCACATTCTAGGTTTGGCAAAGAGGCTTTGCTGAATTGCCTAACAGGAGGTGCTTGGACCTTACACTGAAGTGCTAGGATACAGCTTTTACTATTTTTACACAAGTTTTCTAAAGCTGATTTTCTCTATAAATAGATACAGCTCTTTTAGATTTTATGGACTAACCAGCTCAGGTAAAAGTTCATTTGCAGCTGACACTTGGTTCATTAACTTCACAATAAAGAGCATTTACAAGGAAACTTTCAGATAGACCACAGATAAGCATTTGATGTCGACACCCTCAAGAGCAGAACTGTTCTAGTGGTTACCATAAACAGAATATTATAAAGGATTGAGGATAACAGAAAGTTACCTAAAAAAAAGCAAAGCAAGTAAGAGAAGAATATTGTATAGAGGCATTATATGAAATTAGGATCATATGTGCTCAATCCCCTTTGCGGCTACAGGCGGAGTCCAGAAATAACAGCCAATAACATCTGTGGTGTCCCATCGGATTTATGCCTCTTGTAATACTTCACCTTCTCTGTCAGAATTCTTCTTGGATGCAGGGCAACCTCCACATGTATACAGATAAGAATGGTAAGTCCTGGAACAGGTCAGACCGTAAAGGGGACTTCAATAACTGAGTGATAGCTATTAGATAGGGGAACACTGTTTCTTTCCACCACTCAAAAAATGACAACAATCAGTGTGTGACACATTAGCATGTGGAAAGGGAAGGGGAAGAAAAGACTGTAATTTTTCCATGTGACGGATAATGGTAAGAAAAGTCCAACTGCCTTTGCCTTCAGGCCTTTATCCAGCAGAAAATAAAATTATTCCCATATGGAGAGATATGTCCATATGTTTGTATGGACAAAAAAGAGTATGTAAGATTTTACCCACTTTATAAATTATACCTTTCACTAACTTTAGGCTCTCTTAACAGCCACAAATGTAGACTATAATATTTACACTTCTTGGCAAATGCACCCATACTGAAACTACGAGTAGTGTGAATGGGAAGTTCTCATCCAACACACTGCACAGCCATTCAATCAAAATTTCAGGGATCTTTCTTTCTTTATTTCAAGTTTGAGAATGCTGAACTTAATGTGAAGGTCTTTATTTTCTTAAAAGTGATTTTATCTCATCTGTTTTTTCTTGCATCAAACTCTTTGAGTTTTTGTTGAGGCTTAGAACTAATGACACATTCATTCCACTTGTCAAGCCAGGCCCCCTAGAATAGTTCCTTTCTTTCATTCAACATCACAACCTGATATCAAGCAGGACAATGACCTTGCTGCTGGTTACAATACCGAAAATGAACAGATAATGGTAATGAACAGATAATGGTAATACACTACCATGTATGTGATACTAAAGGAAAATCTTCAGACGCTACAGACCCCTGAAGTACAGAACCATATTTAACCTACAGGGACAGTGCAAAAAGATTTCAGGCAAATGAACCTTTAGCCCAATTACAAATTATATGGAAAGCTAGCAAATATGTAAATGAAGAATTTGTCTGGTATTTAGTAAACAAAATTAATTTTAAAACAAACATGTTGTGTTAAAATAAATAAGCATTTATTTTTACACAGTTCTTTCAAGTCCACAGGCAACTTGCTGTTGAGCCAGGGGATGCAGGGATGAGGTCTGCAGAGATGGCACACTGTTGGTGAATTAGCCAAAGGTAGTAAAAGCACAAGTGCAGTGCTGTAGGTTTCATCCAATGGAACAAAACTGGTGTTAGATGCAGCACCTCCTCACTAAAGAAAGGCAGTCTATGTAACTAAGAGCACCTCTGTTGCTTAAAAGGCCATGCAAGATTTCATCCATGTTACAGGCAGTCACTCCACGTGACCATAAACATTCAAAAGCTGCTTGTAAAAATCAACCAATACAGAGAGCAAGAACACAAGCCTCTGGACAGGGATCTGGTGGCAGCTAATGGATAACAATATTACCTGCTCATATCACTGATGCAGTACACTGCTATAGGGACAACACTTTGGAACAGGTATGTGTAACAAGCACTAGTGACCAAATACACCTGTTCTTCACTGCCTCACAAAATCTAATTTCACTGTCCATGTACTCTGCTTGGCATTGTATGTCTGAGCCACATGCAAAGGCAGTGTATTGCTGTTTCCCCAAGCACTGCACAGTGCCCAATGCCTTTTGTCTTGTCACACTGAGCTGATTCCTTGCTGCCTAAGAGATCTCTTACTCACTGGGGCAGCATCTACTTTTGAATGCAATCCCAGAACTGTAAGAGTCACTCCATGAAGAATTGTTTATTTAGGCTCAAGAGTAATGACAGCATGAGAGAGGTGACTTTACATTAAATTACAGGTTTAAACAAGAATATTTCCACCAACTAAAGTAGCATGCTTCTGAGAAAAACTTCAACTATGAGCAGCAGACAAAAAAGAAAAAAATAAAAATTAAAAGCCTAACCACAATTAAGATGGAATCTGCCCTGTTTTTGAAGCCATTTTGATACAGTTGCCATTTACAGTAAAGTAGCAGAATTAATGTAAACAAATCTCTTCCTTCCAACATCTCCAGGTCAAATATTCCCTTGTCCTTTATTTAACTTAAGCAGAGTGAAGCAGCCACATAGGCTCATTAATAAGCACTCTACTAGAGCTAACTAAACTGAAGAAATAAAACTTCACTGCAGCTGTTCCACCAATGAAACAACTTTCAGTAATATGCTCACATGTCTGTGTGCCAGACCAGGGTTGACTGATGTCTTGGCTACACCAGTGTGTCTCAGATGGCTTTCGATGTCTACCTGTGACCATGACATGATGGAATTCAAGATTCAGAGTGCAGTGACCAGAGCAAAAAGCAAATTCACAACACTGAACTCTGGGGGAACAGATGTGACCGCTTGGGTGATCTGGAGGAGTCCTGTAGGATAATGCCCTGGAGGGAAGAGTGACTCAAAAAAGCTAGTTCATGTGCAAGGGTTACTTCTTCCAGGTGCAAAAGCAGTCCATCCCAACAAGCACAAATTCTGGCAAAAAAATGCCAACAGGCCTGCATGTTTGAACAGAACTCCTAGCACAGAAAGGAAGTACAAGGAGACAGAAGCTTGGACAAGGTAGCCTGAGAGGAACATAGAGGCATTGTCCAAACACGTAGACACATGGTTAGCAAAGCCAGAGCCTACCTGGAATCACATCTGGCACAGGATTTCAAAAGTGAGAAGGGTTTCTCTAACAACAGAAGTGGCTCAAAGAAGACTAGAGAAAATGTGGGTCAGCTGCTGGGTGACACAGGACAAGTTCTCCACATCAGTCTTTTCTAGCAAGACCAGCCTTTAGGAACTTTAGGTCCTGGAGACCTTGGGGAATTCTGCAGCAAAGCAGATGATCTTTATCTTCTACTCAGCTTTGGTGTTGAGTTCTGGGCTCCTCAGCACACTAGATACACTAACATACTGGAGAGAATCCAGCAGAGGGCCATAAAGATGGTGAAGGGGATGGAGTATTTCCCATGGAGGAGAGGCTGATAGAGATGGGACTGCTCAGTCTGGAGCGGAGAAGGCTTCCAGCAATGTCATGAATGAGTACAAACAGTTGAAGGCAGGAAGCAAAGAGGACAGAGCCAGGCTCTTTTCAGTGACAGGCCCAGAAGTGAACAGCACAAACTGAAATACAGGAGGCTCCTTCTGAACACAAGGAAACAATTTTTTACCATGAGGGTGACAGAGCACAGAAGCAGGTTAACCCGAGTTGTAGATTCTCCTTCCTTAGAGAAGTTCAAAACCAGTCTAGACCTAGTGCTGGGCTACTTGCTAGAGATGACCCTGCTTGTGCAGGGAGTGGGTTAAGGTGTACTCCAGAGACCTCTTCCAAGTTCAGTTATTCTTTGTTTTCCTTTAAACATAAGCCAATTAAAATGTGTGGATAGAACCCTATGGTCTTGGTTGCCTCACTGCCAGATCATTCATTACATACATGACTTTGGGTGGGTGGACAGGGGAAAATGAATGGAAAGTTCTTGACACTAGACTACATCTCATTTCAGATGTTCAAAAGTAAAATGAGAATAGGATTGTCAGGTTCCCTTTGAGAGAGGGGCATGAGAAAAGACTTTTAACAAGAGAGAGAAGTGCAAAGAAAAGCAATAAGGAAGAGATTCATCTGCCCATTCCACTCACATTACAGAAATTGCACCTGAAGAACTATGGAGTGGAATACTGAGCAACTTAGGAGGGAAGATCTCCCCACAGTGATTATTTTTTATTGTCTAGTGAAAAAAATAATTACTACATAAACCTATAATCTCACGTTGTTATTTCCAGGAGGGATGGCAGA